TAGTGGCTGAGCACTTACCTATATTTGTGCCACCAGGGAGGGGTGCCTAGCACACATGTTGTTATTGCTGCTAGTTTCCACCAAGTCAATTCCAACTCCTGGCAAATAAGTGCCATCTGACTGCTTTTCGTGGGCAGCTGGAAGAGGAGTGCATTCATTTACTCAGCTACCATGTCCAGCTTAAGCATCTGTGAAAACTTCTCCAAAACATTTTTCTTTTTGAAAGGCATGGTTGGTAGGTACACATATCTCGCCCATCTAAAATAATCGCTCAAGTCCAAGTCTCTCATAAAATACTTTCTTACAAGTCATACTATGGTTTTACAGCAAAGAGAGAAAAAAACAGAGAGATTTGTCTTATTTAGTAAGAAACAGCCGAGGTTCCACTTTTGGCTCACATGACTCAAAGGAAAGCGGTTGCTTGCTGTGCGCTACCAAGGCAACTTACACTCACAGGAAGGCCACAGGGCAGAGAAGAGCTGCCCCGGTGGGCTCCAAGGCTGGGGTCTTGATGGGAGCAGAGTGGAAGGCCTTTCTTCGGCAGAGGCTGGTGGTTTCAAACCACTGACCTTTGGGTTAACAGCCAACTGCTTAGTCATGCCCCACGAGGGCTCCTCTGTAAGGGGAGTAGGCTTTTAGAACAACTAGCTCCTCCCACTCAAATTCATAAGACAGAGTTGCATCAGAAAGACAAGGGCAAAGAGTGATGGATGAATACATAATGGTCCCAGAGATACTCAAGTGGCCAAAATGTGCCCAAACATGACATTTCCAGGACTATCCAGGGAAGTTTCAGGATGGGCGCATCCTGAGCTATCAGACTGCCTAACTGAAAGTCTATGGCTGTGAATCAGAGGAATTGAGCTAATCCACCTATCTAATAGTCGAGTTACAGAAAATGACAACAGGGGGCCTTCCTGCCTATACACAGACAATGAGCGGATCCAAGGCCGGGTCAGCAAGTCAAAACTAAGCGGAAGCCATTTGATACCCTGCAGCTTCTTGCTGTCTCTATGTGTTAGAGGTAAACGCTAAGCCACTGTGTAGACAGACAGGTGAAGGATGGCGAATTTTACAACAGAGCCCAAACGGAAGTCAGAGCCTAATGACAAAAGCCGTCACTGCATGTGTCACTCACCACTAACACTGCAGGCAGATGAGGCAAATCTTTGCAAACAGACTGTGGCAGGCATACCAGGCCACTCCCAGGTTCACTAATGCACTAGAAGGTCTCAGCATACCTTTAGCCGCACAGTAGCATGGTGGTTACTCAGTGGACTCTTCATCTGCAAGTTCACCAGTTCAAACCCACCAGCCACTCCTCGGGGAAAAGACAGGGCTTTCTACTCCTGTCAATAGTTAAGTCTCGGCGGTTCTACCCTAGTTCAGTGCCATGCGGCGGCATCGACTGAGAGACAGTGAGATGACTGGCTGAGCGAAGGCGGGAAAACAAAATCCACACACGCAGGGGGCGCGTGGGGCAGAGTTCAGAGGAATCAGGACACTTGTCTCCAAGAGTCCAGTCTCAGAGGGGTCACACAGGACTTAAGTCCCCACTCAAAACCTTGCGGCAACTCACGTGGGAAACTCACGTGGGAAACATTGTCTACCAGCTAGTTAGAGACAGCACACTGAAGATTCACACTGGGGGCGGGTGAAGAGGCACCCCTGCCAGGTATACACCCAAATTCCAGACCCGAAAGAGGAAAGTTGAACCCCAGGATCTGCATAAGTGCTGTGAGCCACTCTCAGCAGAGAAGGGTGTCCATTAGTAGGTCACCCTGTCCACAGCACTATTTAAATTGTGGCACACCAGACAACGGACTACTCTCCAAACGTTGTCAAAAAAAAAAAAGAATGAAGAAGCTATCTTGTCCTAATTTTGTTAGACTACTAAAATACGAAGGGGCTCCAAAAAGTGCATGGAACCATTCCAATATCTTTCCATTCAGTTTTTCCACGAACATTTTGAAGCTCCCTGGCATAGCACTGAGGCGCCCTGGAGGCGTAGTGGCTACATGGTGGGCCGGGATCCAGCCCGTCAGCAGCTGAAACCACCAGCCGCTCTGTGGGAGAAAGATGGGGCTTTCTACTTCCATAGGAACTCACAGGGGCAGTTCTACCCTATCCTACAGGGTCGCTATGAGCTGGCACAGACTTGATAGCAGTGAGGTAGGTGTTTTTGGTTTTCACTGCTGTGGAGGAAGTACCGTGCATTAGCCTTCTGAAGGGGACAAATAAGAATTCATATTCATATCTGCTTCTTTATGAATAAGAAACCTGGGGAAGATGACAACTAACAAAGAGCCTGTGGGAGGAGAGGTCAGAGAGGGAAGCTGAGCAGGAGGGAGTCAAGGTGGCCACAGCTCCTCATCTTCTGCACTTGTCTCTAAAGACGTACCTGGGAGCAGGAAGTAAAAATGGCACACCTGAAAACTCATTCTTTCTTTCCGAGGGTGAAATTTTATCAACCTGGCGATGTCAATCTTGTATATTTTTGTCTGATGAAGCATTGGGGCAGCGATTACATTTGAGCAGCGGTTCTCAATCTGTGGGTTGCGCCCCCTTTGGGAGTCGCCTAAGACCATCAGGAAAACACATATTTCTGATGGTCTTAGGAAGTGAGACACGGCTCCTCTATCCGCCTCTGGGCGGATCTGCCCACATCCAGATAGACCCACGAACGAGTCCCTGGTGTGGAGACTTACCCACGCTACCCCTTGCTTCAAGACAAAATTTCATTTATTTGTAATTAGAAATAAACATTTCACAATATATAATTAGATATTGTTTTTGTGATTCATCACTATGCTTTAATTATGTTCAATGTGTAACCATGAAAATATATCCTGTATATCAGATGTTTGCATTATGATTCAAAACAGTAGCAAAATTACAGTGATGAAGTAGCCACGAAAATAAATTTTATGGTTGGGGTCACCACAACAAGAGGAACTGGATTAAAGGACCGTGGAAGGTCTGCGCTTTAGGAAGGCTGAGAACCACTACATTTGGGCATATGGTGGTAAAATTGTGCTAACTGATTTTTGCAAACCAGGCATACACTCTTTCCAGTCCTACCTTGAAAGGGGTTCCCCTCGGGCATGTTGCAGTGGGCCATGCTCTGGGCGCCTCTCTTCTCCCATTTGTTTGCTAAGGATATTTCGGGGCTTTTTCAAAGCTCTGTGACAGCAGGGATCTCATTATGCTTGTGTCTGTTCACAGCAGCCCGCAGAGCCTTTGGTGCACAGATGGCGTTCACTCGGTAAGAGCCTAGAGAAAAACTGGTTCCTTGTCCTCACTGAGGGAGACATGTCACCAAGGTGAGCTGCAACCCCCAGAGTCTCAGCCCCAACGAGGCAATCAAATCCACACAGCATTCCTAGTGTTATTTTGAATTTTTACCCCAAAGCGCAGTGAATGCTATGCTTAAACGCTGAATCTGAAATAATCCTAAAAAACGTAATTTCCATGATCGGGATATGACTTGGCTCTTAGGAATAAGTACTTGGCTGCTAACCCAAAGGATGGTGGTTCAATCTTAGCAGCTGCTCTGTGGGGAAAAGATGAGGCTGTCTGCTCCGAGAGAGAGTTCCAGTCTAGGAAAATTCCAGTCTAGGAAAACTGAAGGAGCAGTTCTCCGCTGCCCTAGAGGGCTGCCCCGAGTCAGAACTGACTTGCTGGTTGTGGGTTTGGTTTCATTTTAGGCATACTTCTTAGAGTCCCTGGAGGTACAGAAGGTCATCATGCTTGGCTGCTAACCACATTGGAGGTTCAAGCTCAGCTTCAAGTTCAGCCAGAAGCATCTCAGAGGAAAGGCCTGGAGACCTGCTTCTGAAAAGACAGCCATTGGAAACCACAGGGAGCACAGTTCTACTCCAACAACGCCCAAGGAGACTGGCTTGAATGTTTTGGTTTACATGGCTCTTCGCTGGGTCCCCCTTTTTAGGTCGATTAGCATGCTAATTAGTAATGACAAAATAAGAATGGTAATCAACGGTGCCCTTAGCTATACAAAAGAATGAAAAGTATAGCTATTTTTATTGTCAAGAAAGAACTTGTTCTTAAACTTGCACTCAAATTAGTCCAAACACCAAACTCAGCTGTACAATGTCAATGAGGAGGCTTCCTTCCTCCTCAGCAGGTGTGGAACAGGGAAAACGACCACACCTCTTCTTAGCCTTGGATTTTTAAAAGCCAGGAAACCAGAATTGCAATTGCAGTAGTTTTGCTAGAGAGTCAACATTGTTGACTGATCTGTCTTCAAAGATTTCTAGTGCCACCATGAGTGCTTCTAAGGCACGGCTGAAACGGGGCTCTCCTTGGCCATAATCCAGGAGGTTCCAGTTTCCCAGGTTATCTCGGTTCCTCTTGCTGTCAGGTCAATAATCCAAAGAGCTAGGACACCCTCACAACTGGCACAGCTTTAGCTCTGTGCCCACTGAAGACGCTTTGGATGATAATTTAGAAGTTCTTAAACAGGCTCAGCATTTATGAAATGTCTCCGTGGGGAAGACAAGCAGAGAAGCTGCAGTTAGGTGGCAGACAGGCAACCTTCCAAACCAAGCCAAACCCAACTCCACAGGCATCGAGTTGATACTGACTCACAGCTTCTCTTTATAGAGTTTCTGCGAGTTTGCATGTTTCTACAAGAACAGATGACCTCATCTTTCCCTGATGGAAGGCTGGAGGGTTTGAACTGCTGGTCTTGTGGTTAGTAACACATCGCTCACCAGATACTGACACTAGAGCACCTTCTCATTGCCATCGAGCTGATTCCTATAGCAACGCTACCGGGCAGGATAAAACTGCCCCTGTGGGTTTTCATGATGGTAACTTTTTAAAGGACTAGAAGGCCTCATTCTTTCTCCAAGAGGCTAGTGATTTTGAACTGCTGACCTTGTGATTCATAGCTCAATGCACAACCCACTCCACCACCTGGGCTCCTTAAGTCATGTAAATTATACTTATGCTACAGCATCAGGAAGCAGCAGACTTACTAGTGACAGAGTTTAGCACAGCAAATCCCACCTCGGTCCATGTAGCAGTCAAAGGTCCATGGGCAGTGGCAGAGTCCTCTCTGAGAAGGGCAGTCTCTGGGCAGAGGATGATAGTTCTAGAGAGAGGGGGAAATGTGTGAAGTTAAAGAATGAATTATGCTTTGTTGTTCTATTTGTTGGTTTTATGAAGGTAGATGTGTTCTCCAATATGGACCCCTAGAAAAGTTATGGAGCCCTGGTGGCACAATGGGCAAGTGCTCTATAGCTAACCAGAAGAGGTTGGCGGTTCAAACTCACCCTGACAAATGGCTCCCGTGAGTATTAAACACTATTGGTCCAGTTCCTCACAACTGGACCAATAAGTAGCAACATGATCAATGAAGAAAAGGCTGACGTGGCCAAGGACTTTGTCTTGCTTGGATCCACAATCAATGCTCGTGGAAGCAGCAGTCATGAGATCAAATGACACACTGCATTAGGTAAATGTGCACAGGTCTCTTCAGAATATTGAAAGGCAAGGTGCTACCTTGAGGACTAAGATGTGCCTACCCCAAGCCATGGTATTCTCCATCGCTTTACGTGCATGTGAAAGTTGGACATTTGAGTCCTGGTGCTGGAGGAGAATGCTGAAAGTGCCCCGGACTGCTAAAAAGACCAGCAGATCTGTCTTGGAAGTGTGGCCAGAGTGCTCCTTAGAGGCAAGGATGGCAAGACTTTGTCTTCCGAACTCTGCACATGTTGCCAGGAGAGACCAATCCCTGGAGAAGGACATCATGCTTGGTAGAGAGGAAGGGCAGTGGAAAAGGGGAAGGCCCTCAATGAGCTGCATGGCTGCATGGCTGGGCTCAGGAATGGGATCAATGGTGCGGATGGCGCAGGATCGGGCAGCGTTTGTGTCCTCCTGCTGTGCATAGGGCTGCTAAGAGCCAGTACTGACTGGATGGCACCTAACGACAATAAAAACTGGACAGTTCTAATCTGCCTCTAGGATCAAACGTCATGGCATCAACCACAATAACAACGGAAGAGTCTCCAGGAGATCAAGGGCTCTGCCAGGTACAGGTGTTTCAAGTGACGAGACGAGGGTGGACCAGTCATTCTATAAATATGCACATAAGAGCTACCACCCACTGCTCTGGTGTGGAACACAGAGCAATGCAGACAGATTGCCTTTTGCTCTTGAAGCACACATTCTCGTTGCGAATAAACAAATGAACAAGAAAGATCGTGGATTAAGTCAAGGTCAGAGCATGTGGTCAGGGAGGCCTCTCCCCAAAGAAGTTGAAGACAGAAATAATACACAGGAGCCAGCTGTGGATGCCAGAAGAGCATTGTAGGCAGCGGCAGCAGCTGGCTCCAAGGCTGCAAGGCAGGAATGGGCCAGGCAAGCTTAAGGACGCGAAGAAAGAGCAAGCCCTGCTGAGCGAGCCCGAGCGCAGAGAGGGAAGGAGACATCCCGCAGGTGGGGCGAGACCAGGGCATACAGGGGTCTGTGAGGCAGGTAGAGTGGCTGCCTACAAACAGGCCGCATGAAGCATCAGGGAAGTTCACATTGACGTGCACTGTGTCACCTTCAAACGAAACGGAGGACCATTCACTCCAAAGGACATATAGTCCCTGTGATCTCTTCATGGATTTTTTTAAGAACTGAAATTTGGCTTGTAGGTGGAAGTAAAAGCTATGCCATTATCCAGAGGTCTATAGGTCATAAAACCACCATGGAAAAATCATGAGAACAGTTTTAAGATTTGACTAGCAATCTCTCTTTACACACGCACATACACACACTTATATACTCTGTGAATAGGGTCACAATGAGTCAGCCAACTCAATAGTACTTAAAAACCAAAAGCAGCAGCAAACACACACACACACACACACACACACACACACATACACACACACACACACACACACGCCCAGGTGGTATAGTGGGTTACGTGTTGGGTTAGCAGTCTCAAGTTAGTAGTTCAAAACCACTAGCCTCCCCTGGGAAAAGAAGAGGCTTTCAACTCCTTTATAGAATTACAGTCTCAGAAAAACGACAGGGGCAGTTAGACCCTGTCCTATTGGGTCCCTGAGAATCGTAATTGACTTGACGGCAGGGAATACGCGGCATGATAGTTATGTTATGCACCTTGGCAGCTAACTAAAAATCCACTCAGGCTCCAAGGGGAAAAAACCTAACAATCTGCTCCTACAAAGATTCAAATTCAAAAACTCAAACTCACTCCTATCAGGTCAGAGTGAGCTACACATTGGGCTGCTGACCACAAGGTCAGCTGTTTGAAACCACCAGTCACTTCAAGGGAGGAAGATGAGGCTCTGTTGTTGTTGCTGTTGCTGTTGTCTACAGGTGTCATCCAGTTGGTTCCAAGCCATAGCAATCCTATGCACAACAGAAGGAACCACTGCCACGTCCAGTGCCACCCACACCATTGTTCCTTGTCCGAGCCCATTGCCACAGCCGCTGTGTGAATCCATCTGGTGGGTTTGAATGGCGAGTTTGAGTCAGGTGACAATGCCTCTCTCTTATGACCCTGAAGCTTCTTCCATAGCCCCTGTGTCAATCCAGCCCATTGCGGGCCTTCCTCCTTTTCACTGCCCCGACACTTTCTCAACTTCATGTTCTTCCCCAGGGACTGGTCTCTCCTGACAACATGGACAACGTATATAAGATCAAGTCTCACCACCCTCTCCTCTAAGGAGCACTCTGGCCGTACTTTTCCCAAGACAGGTTTGTTTGTCCTTTTGAAGGACCATGGTATTTCCATATTCTCTTCACCAGCTCCACAATTCAAATGCATGTATTCTTTTTCGGCCTTCCTTATTCAACGTCCAACTTCCATGTGCACATGAGGCAAGTGAAAATACCAGGGCTTGGATCAGGCACAACTTAGTCCTCAAAGGAACATCCTTGCTGTTCAATGCTCTGAAGAGGTCTTATGCAGCAGATTTACCAATGTATCTTTTGATCTCTTGACTGCTACTTCCATGAGCACTGATTATAGATCCAAGTGTGATGGCTTGGAAATAGGGCCTCAAACAATTCCCAAACTGTGTGTTTGCCTTGGGGGAGAGTTATCTGCAGCATTCTAAAAAGAACAGAAACAAGAAACAAAGAAAAACAAAAACCCAATTCACTTCCATTGAGTCATCTGCCGCTCACAGCAACCTCACGGGGCAGAGCAGAAATGCCCCTGGAGATTTTGAGACTGCAACAGGAGTAGAAAGCCTCCTCTTCCCAAACTGTTGACTTCCTGCTTGGCAATCCCAATCCATAAGGATTAAGTTAATTACCCACTGTAAAGTCAAGATTAAAGTTAGCACAGATAGATAGTGGATGAAGAAAAAACTGAACTAACAGAAAATTCCCAACAAGACACAGCTCTGAGTTCCAATGCTTTTCATGGATGGGTTACAAAAGTCTAACTTGCACAACTTTTACTTGCCCCGGGAAGCTACATAAAACCACCTCTGGGAAGATTAAACCAGCTCTCAATCAACAAAACCTCCATCACAATCACCTGTACTTGCTGTATGGACAGCTTTGAAACACTGAAGGCTTCAAGTCTTCTCTTGTACTACAAGAAAGCGAACCAAGAAGCCAGTGCACCAGTTCCTACTGACTTGCAAATCTGACTTAAAGACACTCTGGGCGATGGGTCCCATCTGTGACTGGGGACTGCCTGTGTACCAAACAGTTCCTGGAGAAATATAATGAAAAGAAAATGAATGTTTCCACAAACTTTTTGAAAACCCCCCCCATCTGAAAATGTTCAAGAGGGTCAAACTGGAGGAAGCTATAAATTAAAACAGCTTAAAAAACAAGTCAAAATGATATTCTTAGTTAGCAAGTAAGACAAAGTAAACATACCTGGCTGTCCCCGGCTAACATGTCCTGCTATGGATCAAAGGACAGACAGACAAGCCAAATTACAGCCGAGCAGGATAGTTACTCTTGGGTTATAAATTAGACCATAGATGATGCTCAGCCCTGGGGGCATAATGGTTACAAGTTGGGCTGCTAACCACAAGGTCAGCAGTTTGAGACCACCAGTCACTCTGTGGGAGAAAGATGAGGCTTTCTACTCCGGTAAAGAGTTCTAGTCTGGGAAACCCACAGGAGAGTTCTTCCTCGTGGCCTTTGTTGGTTCTCAGCTAGATGGCCTCCTGCTTATCTTCAAGCCTTTAAGACTCCAGACGCTATATCTTTTGATAGCCGGGCACCATCAGCTTTCTTTACCACATTTTGAACTGCATATTTGGCTGGGGAAAGATAGGTGGCTGGGGGAAAAAAAAAAGTGGAAAACCAACACGCACCTTTTCGAGCTCAGAGAGTACAGGTGCCATTCCCTTATCTGTAGGTTTGGAGAGGAGCCCTGGTGGCATAGTGGTAGCTGGGTTGGGCTGCTAATCTCAAAGTCAGCAGTTCAAAAGCACCAGCGGCTCCATGGGAGAAAGACACGGCTTTTTACTGTCAGATACTCACAGTTCTACCCTGCCCTATGTGGTGGCCATGAAATGCATGAACTCAATGGCAGTGAGCTTGGTTTGCTTTTGTGTGTGTTAGGAGGAGATGGTGCAGGCAAACACGTATTCCTCTTGGGGGATGGGGAGGGTTGGGCCTTGTCACTTCCCCATGTAAAGAACATACCTTCCCCACAGAAGAAAGGTCTGTACCTCGCAGGCAATAGGCATTCGTGCAAACCAGGTAAACCTGTATAGGATACTCCTCATTGTGTCACTGGATAAACCCCAAAGGGGGACTCTAATAATTAAAGTTTTCTTTAATAGGTCATGGCAATAGGAGACAAATATACAATTCTACTGGCTTGGTGGATTTCAGGGACACTACTTCCCTAGAACCTGCAGTCCATCCCGCACTTCTGATAAGAGCTGAGAGGGACCAGTGCCAGCTCCCTGCAAAGTCTTCTCTACCATCAGGAAAAAGGCAGCCGCCTGAAGCCACTATGTAACCCGATGCAGGGCAAGGCGGCTTTCCCCAGAAGCAGCTATTTTTCTGTCTAATGGACTTGCGAGCCTCATCTTCTGGCAAAATCACACCCATCTTCACCCCGGGGAATCAATAACTCAGAAGACTATGCCTATTTAT